ATGTTAATGTCATATATTCTATGTATCATAATTACAGACTGAAAAAGTTACACTTATTCATGCACAGATATATATATATATATATATATATATATATATATATATATATATACAGGAGATGAGCAGTAGATGTGTTAACATGGAGTTGAGAAAGGGCAGGAGTCCTCAACAAGAGGCGAAGAAATACAAGTAACTACGGAATGAGTAGACAAGAGAAGCAGTTTTCCACTGAGAAGAGCACACCCCTTGGCTGGTGAACCATCAACAAATGGTCAGCCCTAAAAACGTATGTACAATCACCAAATTAACAGACATAGAAGATGTGCAGAAATATTTAAGAACTCTGCCCAAGACAGTGAGTGTTCAACTCAAGATTTTAGCCAAGCAAGTCAGGTTGTTACTCTCTGGAGCAGCTGATGTCAGAAGAGCATTCTGTTTTCTGACGAAGAATATGTAAGTATAAATAGGCCCTGCAGGGCTAAGGTAAAGTTGATTTTGAAAAATTTATAGCAGGATTCAGAATAGGGATAGTGTTCCTTGTTGCTAAAGAGATTGTAAGGGGTGAGATATGCAATGACAATTGGACTGTCAATAGGGAAGAGACGGGAAATTTGTTCACGAGTGTTGGGACTGGCAGACACCTCTTGCTGAATATTGCAGTATGGAGTACTCCGTCCTTTAGTGGCTATGAATGCTGAGTGAGAAAGTAGATATGTTGGGAATACATACCACATTTCCTCTTCTTTTTAAACATTATAAAGACAGAAATTAGTTATAATTATACATCACTGACCTTAGGGAAATAAGACAACTAAGTTAATGTTCTCGCTTCGTCAAATGCATATTACAAATCGAAGCATCTTAAAACAGGGTTTTGATAAGTCTGCTCTAACTGGAAGAGGTGGGAGGCTTGAGAGGGAGGTAAGGGGACACCAAGAGTGTTGAAAACATTTAAAATCACTTTATTGAATTTTTAAAGAATCAGTAAGAAATATAAAAGGGGAAATTTGCTCTATGCCCCCTATTTTAGAGCAGAGGTTTATTATTTATACTTCATTCTTACTCTTCTCAGGACTCAAAAACTCTCTGAAGTCAGCTAGACGTGTCCTCTGCTGGAAACCAGCTGCATTCTTAATTTCCACATAAGAATATTAGATGAGTTAATAACCTAATTGGCATCCTTTCTTTCTTCATTAGTAAGTTTTGAATGAAGATAAAACTGATAGACTGATCATTCCACAGCATTTAAGACTGCATTACAAGAAAGATGGTGAGAGGGCATTCCCGAGGTTTAGGCTGGCCTCTTAAATACACTTAAAGCTTTCTTCAGCCATCACCATATTCAAATTGTTTTTAACAAATGTTAAATCTCATAAAAAGCAGGTTTTATGATGTTGGAAATAAGTCACAAATTTTAAGTTATTTCTTATTTTGTTGAACATTTAATACCTACACTGTGATTTGTCTAATTGCTTCATGTCTACACATCTGAGTATATGTACATGTTTGCGTGTAAGTACACATATGCTCCCGCATGTTGTATGCATGAACGCAGCTGTGTGGGTGGTATACAGGTGAGTGTGCATGTGGAGGCCAGAGACTCACTAGGTGTCTTCTATAGTAGTAGCCTCTTCGCTTTATTGTTTTAGACAGTCTCCCACTGAACCTCAAGCTCATTCGTTTCATTAAAGCAACTGATCAGCACCTCCAGGATCGTCCTGTTTCAGCCTCCCCAGTTCTGGGCTTATATGTGCAAGCACAGGCATGCCAGGCCATTTATCTGCACGCTGGGGACTGAACGAAGATCTTTATTCTTGTGTGGCAAGCACTTTACCCTGTCCCCAACCCCTGTATGAGACATTTATTTTTTAATTTTTTTTATTTATTAAAGATTTCTGCCTCCTCCCCGCCACCACCTCCCATTTCCCTCCCCCTCCCCTGATCAAGTCCCCCTCCCTCGTCCAATTTTAGGGACAAGAATGATCTCAATTGAACAGCTATGGTCTGCTCCTAACCACAGCAGTAAACATTGTTTACACTGTTTTGTAAGTCAGGTGTGACTGCGATACCTTTAACCTGTGTTCTATATCATCTTTACCTTTACATATAGGTCGACATGTCCACAAAAGACTTTACCCAGTTGTTAATATGTCAGTTATGAAACCTTTTAGAAAGGACTGTTTCACTCTGTTGATATATTTTCTCTCACTTTTAGATATTGTATCTATTTCTCTCTGTCTCTCTCTGTGTACTAGTCAATGGGACATGTGGCATCCACCTCATCAAATGCACAAGAGAAAACAGTAATGCAAAGACTGTGGGTCTGGGTGTGGCAATTCATTCCTGCAATGGCAGCATTCAGGAGTCTGAGGCGTGATGGTTGCTAAGCTTCGAGGCCAGTGTGGGCTTCACAGTGAATTGCAGGCTAGTCTAAACAACACGGTGAGACTTTATTTTAAGAAAACAAAGACTAATAAACTTAGATTCACTCTTTACATCGTCCTGACCTGGGTGAGAAAACAAACCAGCGGCTGACAAAGAACTGAAACGTCTCCCGTTCTCCACCACATTTCCTTAGGCTGTGCGAACCCAGACAGGTCTTTTGACATTCTGGTAAGAGCCCAGAAAGTCATACAAGTGTACATACATGCAAACATGTACATATATTCAAATATGTAGACATGAAAAATTCGATAAATAACAGTACAGGAATTAAATGCTCACTGACCTACTAGGCTGAATGTGAGAAACAAGTCTGATCAAGTCCCATGATCAAAAGGGGAGGCTTAGTCTTTGCCACCAGGGGAAGGCTGGAATCTGGACCGTATCCATGGCAGCTTGTTTGCCTGTTTTCCCTGGGCTTTTCATGGTAGTTCCCTATAGTTGGATACTGTGTCTTCTTCTCTCCCACAGAGAACTTAAGTAGGGAAAGAATGGCATGCACCCATGCCAGCATCACATGTGTGACCAAAGCAGAACATGAATCCAGGTTGCCAGGACTGCTGCTTCCAGGTGACAACTCACTGTGGCAACCTTGATCTTACTCACCTACAAAATAAAATATTCTGTCTTTAAGGACTCTGAGCTACAAATTACAGGATACCGCAGGGCAGGATGGGAAGACAGAATCCCATCTTTGTATATGATGACTAATAGAATTTATGTTCCTGATAAGAAATTAAACAAAGTTAAAGACAACGAACATTGAAAATTTCTTCAGATCATTTGCACTGTAGGAAAACCAGCTCTATAACAGCAAGAAGACAGGAGTACTTTACTGGATGTATTTATTCAGATATGATATTATATTATTAATGAGTTGAAAGTAATTTCAGCAGTAATATAAACGGATTGTCTTGAGCACTCATTAAACATGACTTTATTGCTGTTTCACTTAATTTTCCATAAAAGATAAAAGTCAAATTTGGACTCCCAAGGGTTGTCCAAATAAAAGAATATTTCTGTTTATCCAATATATCTTCATGGTCATGCTAGCTATATAAACTGATATATTAAACATCACTGTTTAAATGCAATATTTAAGGCATACAGCCTAAAACTAGCAAAAGAGGAAAATATACTCGAAGTCCCAAACTTAAATGTGCATCTTGTCCAGCAGATGCAGCAGCAAACAAATCCAGGATTTCCATGCCAGAGCTGAGCCTCTACTTTAAACCAACATCAGCAGTAGGCAGTAATCCTAGGGAAAAAGTAAATTCCACAAATAAACAGAGCAATTTTCCTTTAAGAGGAGAGCTAATTCTTTTCAATCTACTTTTTTTATTATACTATTTTCCCCTCTATCTACTTAGCTAGTGTAAGGATAAATTTCCAAAGCTGCCTGGATGGAAAATAAATAGATTCACTGTTTGTCTAGAATTCCAATCTTTGCAAATGTAAATCAGCCCAAGTGCCCCTCATTTAAACCTTCAACTTTGCAGAGCATTAGAGGGTGGCCTTCACTTCACAGTTTAATCCACGCACTAAGATTTCTGCCTGAGCATCACTCTGAATTGACTATCTGATAAAGAATGACCACCACCAAAGGTCACAGAGGTCAGCCTGTGTAATTACAGAATTGTTTTCAGTCAACTCTACCAAACACTGCCATTTGAATTTTAAGTTGTTATAATTAAATTTATATACGTATATGTAATGTATATATATATATATTATATACAGATCTCCCCAGAGTTACTTTATTGCTAAATGTACTGGAAACAGCACGGCATTTACTTTTGACCTGTATTGTGTTCATAGTATCATCCACTGAGAAACTATATAAAAAGAACGCTTATTAAAAATACTAGAGTCTTGCACTTTAAACAATACTTCATAAACTAAAGTGCATAATTAACTGCTGGGAGCTGGTTTTATTTATCACATCAACATGAGAAAGTTCTTCCAGGTTGCTCTGCCTTAACAGGAAGCATTCTAGGAAGTAACATCTACTATTTCCTAGCTGAGGAATTTTGCCATGGAGGAAACTAGCCCCTAGGCACTTTGCACTGGACACTGGGCACTTACAAATTGCTAAGATTTAGTCACATTTTAATAACAGAATTAAAGGGTGCCTGGAATAGAAAACTTTAAACTGGACAATTTCCCAATTCTTTGGTTCACTGTAGTGATTTTTATAGTTTATATTAACTGGACAAAAGACCAGTATAAAACCGTTCATGATCATGACCAGTAAGAACTGATATCATATTTAATTTTACTTTGATGGGTATGTATATGGATCAAATATTTTCTCCTCGCCAAAGTAGCAAGGAAAAAGAAAAGAGAAAAGAAAAGAAATAAGGAATTTCACCATTGGTGTCCCAAATGCTGACCTTGCTGCTCCTATGCTGTTTATAAATGAGGGGGAGTTTGAAAGGCTGTATGCAAGTGTTAATATATAAACAACACAGTTTTAACTTTTACTATGAAAGTAACTTCCTAAGACCGTCTTTCAGATTTCAGGAGTCCTAACACACTTTATGTTTTCATGCTTTCAGATTTTGTGTCGGAGACAAATTTTTCTTAAAGAATAACATGATCCTCTGCCAGACAGACTACGAAGAAGGCCTGATGAAAGAAGGCTACGCACCCCAGGTCCGCTGATCCGTCAGCATCACCCCCAACAACACAAAGCACTACATCCCTTTATCTTTTTTGCTCACCTGTATATAAGAATTGACACAGGAACCTACTAAATAGGGTAGTGGTAGGACAGCAGGATGGCCGGCCATATGGAAGAAAAGGCGGACTGCATCTTTATGTAGTAAAATTGCCCCAGTTCAAGAGTTGAATGTCCATTATTAAAGAAAGAAAAGTAATGTATATATTGCTGGATTTTTTGCTTGCTATTCGTTTTTGTGTCACTTGGCATGAGATGTTTATTTTGGACTATTGTATATAATGTATTGTAATATCTGAAGCACAAATGTAATACAGTTTTATTGTGTTACCATTTGTGTTTTGTTTGCTTCTTTGTATTGTTGCATTTGGGTACAATCAGTGTTTAAACTTACTGTATATTTATGCTTTCTGTGTCTACCAGCTATTTTCAATGAGCTATACCTTTCTAGTAAGAACTGAAGAGCAAACCTCACCGATGACACACAGATAATGCAAGACTATCACATTAGAAACACAAAAGTAAATAAGTAAACACAGGCAAAGCAGTTAGTGACACCCACTCCTTATGGCTCCTACAGTTAGGTGTATTCATGGTCTCATGATAACCCCCTATTTTCAGGGGACTAAAGATCAGCTTTAAAAAAAAACAATAAAGATTTCAGCTTAAAGCACTTTCATTTTATACCAACGTGAAAAGTGCCATTTTTAGAATGTCGTTAAGACTTAGTGATGTCATTTTAATACTCTTTATTGTGTCCCTCACCTTCGCTATACATTTATTCTCTTTTTCTTTTCTCAATCACACACCGTTTGTGAAATAGTGCCTTTGGGTAGCATGTAAATTCTTTTTCCAAAGGGTTACTCTAAATGAAAACGGTATTATCACAATTAGGACATAATTTTTCAAATTTAAAATTCCTTGTATAAATGTTGTCCAGGCTTCTCCCTAGGAGATGGGGCTTGATGTCTTTATGGTTAACGCACTGATGACACCACACGGACCGGAGTGTGATTCCACTGAAGCCAGGATGATGCCCCTTGAGTTCTTCGCCATCGTCCTACTCAGATCATGTAACACTTGGGCTAAAAATCTATCTTTTTCATTTCTTTTTCATGATGAAATGTTTTCCCCTTATTTAAATGATAGCTGATGAAGAAGAATGTTCTAGAAACAGAAACTGTGGGAAAGGATTTACTTAAACTGCAACTAAGGAAATAAAACCGAGACTCTGGTTCCCTCTTCTGCTCACACGTTGTTATTTTGGTTTTGCATTCTGCGGTGAGACAAGTTTTCCCCAAATCCACTCCGAACAGGCACTGTGAACCATATTTGTTCTCCAGCAAACTCTGCACCATGGGTTTTCTCATTGTTCTCCATTGCGTATACAGGAAATGTCCCCCACCGTTATCTGCATTACATATTTTCCGTGCCAGTTTCTGCATTACAGATGGCCATTAAATATTCTACCTACATTCTTGGTCTGGGGCCATAATATTAAGCTGGAAACAATGCTGGTGTGGCTTTGAATCATCATGAAACATAAGTTTATTCGGGAAATGCATGAGAATCTGAATATTGCCTCGTGAAAAAAAAAATGGTTCTGTAAAAAGTGAATGATAGGCGCATTTTCCAAATGCTTCGTGATTAAGAGTGTGCAAGTCCCGTTTGCTCAAATTGGAGGAAAAATGAAGAATTGTAATCCATTTGGAATCCACAAGGTGATTCTTATTTACCGCTCAGCCCCAAAAGTTTGTTTTGTGAGAAGACAGGCTTAGCTTAAGATATCAAAAATGAAATTGGGAAAGATGACACACCACAGGTGAAGGAGACACACAGCCAGGAAAGGGGACACACAGCAAGGGAAGGGACACACGGCCAGGGAAGGGGACCCACAGCAAGGGAAGGGGACCCACAGCAAGGGAAGGGGACACACAGCAAGGGAAGGGGATACAAAGCAAGAAGTTCACCTAACAGCCCTGCTGGCTCCTCTTGATATAACATCTTTCATTATGGTTTTCAAATGTCCTTAACTTTTCCCATCAAAATGGGTTTTCATAGTGTCCTTAACAGGTCAAAATATGTGTCACCTGGGGACAAACTTCTCCTGATTTCTGAAAGCTGTTCAATCACCCTTGCCATCCCCAAATCAAATAGGGTCTACATTGCTTTTGCTTAATCTTTGGGGAAACAGCTCACCTGAAGTAAAGATTAAGGCCTTAAACTCTTTAGATTATCTTTAATCTCCATGAAATTGTGAACAAAGACCAAGGTAAATTTCCACCTTTAAGCTGTTTTCCAGTTAATTTGCCACATGCAGTAGCGGTTTGGACCTGAAATATTAGGCTGGTTGTCCTGAGGACGCAAAGCCCCTGCCTTTTGTCAGCTCTTCTCTTGGCATTGTGTGGATCCTAGATCATATCTGATGCTCCAGTAGGGCACCTGGGACAGACTTCTGAGTTCACCCAGCTGAGAAAGTTCTCCTCTCAGTGGGCATCTCTGCAGGCTGAACTGAATGAGGCACCCCCCGCCCCACACCAGCATCAAGAGCATAACAGCAGCCCCTTGTTCATAATTTCACCTTCATCTTGCCCGTACACATCTGGATTCTTTCGTTTACTTTTCTAAATATCTGGATTCAGGTTTTCAATTAAAAAGGCACTCCACTATTGGGTTGCACTTAGTTGGCAAAGACAAAGATGATCTGAAAAACACATGTGTGTGTCCACAAGAAAACGAAAAACTTCCTTTCTAAAAGTCAATCCCAACAAGCCTAAGGAAGACACCTCAGATCCTCTTTCAATGAGAATGTTGAAAAGCCCTGAAATAGAAGGTTCTCCACTCTTTTACTTTTGTGGGGGGGGGGGGGAACTGTCCAAAACGAAAGTAACAATTATTGTTTTTTGTGCATTTACATATATTTAACTGACGTAGAGAAAAGCAACTTTGTTGCTGTCTGCAGACTAAACTTCAAATTTTCTGTAAAATGAATTGAAACCAAAATGTCCACTAAATTCTATGTTTTCAAGAAAGACACGTGCTGCCTTAATTGAAGCAGGGAAGTGACAATGGGATCTCTGGTAAACGCACCATCCTCACACAGTTTTGTTTTAACTATCACTTTAGGCAGATTGCTCTTTGAATCGTCACTTAGGCCATTTCGCAGAAATGATGCAGACCAAACATGTGCAGTGTTCCTTCAGTGAGTTGCTAAAACAATCTGCGTGTTTATGGCAATAGGCCATTAACACAGAACACAATTTAAGCAAAAGCCTTTTGATCACTACTTTTTCTTAAAAATGCCATTATACCATGTTTTTCTTTTTTAATGTGATTTTAATTTAGGGTAATAAGAAACCGAGGTTTGAGATGGTCCCTATTTCAGATGGACTTTCCTGAATGCCCACTGTGTGTCAGGCCTTGCTCTGTGTGCTTAATTGCCTATGAACACACAGACAGAGCTCATGTATCCAGTCCTTTCACTATGCCTTTTTGAGTGTTGGCCCCCATCTTAAACCTACCCATAATGAATACACAAATATGAACATCTTCTAACAACACAGTATGTCATTGGTGTGAAAGCCTCAGAAAACATCTCAAGTAATCGATGTGTTCAGAGAATTATCTCACCCGAATTACTCATTAACTCAATAGCACATAATAAAAAAGAACGTCAATTAATTAATGAGTCACCCTCAGATTGCTTTGATTATTACCGAACTCAGTTGAAACAGTGGTTATGAATGGAGCTATCTCTCCTTATTCATTGTTTGCAATTGGGCTATTATTTGGCTGAAACCTACATGCCTGTAGGTAATTGTGTGATTAGTATCATAAATGAAGAATTCAGAGTGACTGCTTCTTGTAAGACCGCTGGGGAAAAAAATAAAGAACACTCATTTTCAATGCAGCTTCTGTTAAAGGCAAGCTGATACAGGGATGACACCTTTCTAAAAATGCAGTTATGCATTTATAATGAAGATTTAGGGCTTCCATATTGTACGGGGTCTGGGTTAGATCTTAAGACACGAACAGGTGAGTCTTACAATGCATTTGCACATATGAGATTTAATTTCAATAATAGCACCATGAGAATAATATGTGCATCACCAATGCCAGAATTAGAAATGTTTTGTTAGCCACAAAGGACATTTCTGCTTTTGGTGAGCTGGGTCAGTGTGGATTCTTGAAAACTGAAAGGAATGGGGGGAGGGATTTTAAAAAAATAAGCAACTAAATATGCTACAAACCCACAAATGAAACTTTCACAGACATCTTGGTAAATGCCATTCCAGTATGCTTACAGAATAATTACAACAGTTCCCCTAGGTAAGTGGGAAACAGCTGTTGGTAACACATAGCAGGTGCTAACAATTACACATACTGAACTTTTAAAAAATGTTTTTAATTAAAAGAATCTTGTTTTGTGAAAAGAGGGGTAAAAATATGTTAAAATCAAAGATATTCCTGGTTTATGCATCCAGATCACGTTATGCACAAAACCATAAGGCCCAAGTCACCCTGCATCATCTGTGGTTTCTGATTGGCTCATATCATTGCCTTCAGAACCGGACTATAATTCATTGCACTTTTTACACAGTTGGTATTCTGGTCCGAGAAGCTTCATCCTCGTGAAATTGATATGGCGGAGCTGATAAAAGGACATTTGAGTTTTATAGGCAAGGTGGCTGCCATTAACTAAACCAGATTGAGTGGGCACAGTACAAAGAAAAGAGGGGATCCAGAAACATCAGGGAACAGGGAGCAATCCATGTGTGCTGCGCAATGTTTTCCTACGATGTCTCTTTAAGAGCTCTTAATAACCGTTGGCGACAATTACTGAGCAGCCCCATGAACAGGGTGGCTTTCTGCAAACTCCAGCTGTATATAAGAATATAAGTACTATATGCAAGTTTTAATGACTTTTGTATTTATTCATTTATTATTTAGCAGTTGTTTCTTTCAGTGTTACCCAGGCCTGCAGGTACTTGGGGGCACACCCAGATTTTCTCAGGGTCGAATAAAACAATGAAGCAGAGGTCCTAAGTGGAAGGCCTGATGTTTACACACAGGATTTCTGGGTATCAGTCCATCTATTAGTGTCACTGTCTGGATGACAGTTGCTATCATTTCTTTTATCATTATTGATTTCACAGCCTATAGAATTAACCAAGAGCTCCTAAGTAGTGTCTATCCATGTGCAAAATTTTCAACATTTCAGAATTAATGTTATCATTTAAGAAAAAAAATGGCAGCTTGGGTCTCTGTTTCAGTTGGTAGAGTGTTTTTATAGCATGCACAAAGTACCAAGTTCAATTCTCAGAACTCCAGAAATGGAAAATGGTGGTACATGTAGTAATAGGAGTGGCAGGCTACGTTCCTGGCACCCAGCTGCCCACACGGCTAGCTTTATACCCGAAATAATTACATAGAAACTGTATTCTTTTAAACACTGCCTGGCTCATTAGTTCCAGACTCTTATTGGCTAGCGCTTACATATTGATCTAACCCATTTTTAATGATCTGTGTAGCCCACGAGGTGGCTTACTAGGGAAGATCTTAACCTGTGTCTGTCTGGAGTGGGAGAATCATGGCAACCGCCCTACTCGGCTTCTTTCTCCCAGCATACTGTTCTGTCTCCTCTGCCTACCTAATTTTCTGTCCTATCAAAGGGCCAAGGCAGTTTCTTTATTTAACCAATGAAATCAACACAAAACAGAAGACTCTCCCCCATAAGGTACACACCTCCCATCTCAGCACTCTAGATGGATATAGAAGTTTCAGAATTTCCACAAAGTATCAAAAATCACAAGTCATCTTTGGTTATGTAGTCAATTTGAGGCTAGCCTGGGCTATATGAGACAATGTTCCTAAAAAACCCAAAAAGAATAGGAAGAAGAGGCAGAGGAGGAAATGGTTTAGAATAAAAATGATCCTATTTTTCCAAGGAACAGTCTACTTGGAAATTCCCTTGAACAGTCCATGGAGGCCTTTGTTTGAACCTGTAGAGCTTCCCTATCAAGACTAGAGGGCCTTTCGGAAGAGCAGCAGCACTAAGCACAAGAGGGCTGTCTCAGTTCAAGAGTAAATGTGGACCAAAAGCAGACACTTTGTGTATCCAGGTAAACAAAATACAGAGAAGCATAAGTAACTGAGTCTGAGAAATCAACAAAATAATTGACTGTATGCCAATATTTGATGTTTTATGGACCTTCCATAGCATGAGGTGGGGTTGAGATCAGCTCCTCTGGAATAGCAACATGGCTTGAGGTAGACTTGAATCATGGAGGCTCTGAGGGTGCTGGGCTCTGGTCAAAGCCAAACAGCGCAGGACTGCTTGTCTTAGAAGTACAGAACAAACCACACAGCAGCAACATAGCACCCAGCAGTTTGTTAGCCATATTAATCCAATGCCCATGACAACACAGAGAAAGTGTTGAGGCATCC